TATATAAACAAGTCTTTTTTCTTGTATACTTTCGATGTGGGATTCCTTTCCATATATATGACTTTTAAATTTGGGCTTATCAACTTATGTGTCCATATTGGAGACTTTTCCAATTCACCTAAATTTATTACAATGATCCACATAATTAAATATCACATTTAATTATTTAACACTTTATTAATTAATTCCAACGGAAAGTTCACTGGTGAGAATAGCTCAGACTTCCAAATTGATATGCTGGTAAATTCTTGTCCTACTCCCACATGGAAAGAGTTTTGACTATTCGAGATGGTTAGCAATTGACCCATTGTTCCTATCTGAAATCTTCTACATCTTCAAATTTTAGAATGAAAATTCAAAATTGAGGTGCAACAACGAAACACGTCCTTGTGCACCTGCCTCTTTGGAAAGAACAGCATACTCTCCGACAAAGTCCCCGAGAGACCAATAAAATAAGATTGTAAATGGGATTATCTAGAGCATTGTTCACGTGTTTGAAACTTATACTATTAATGTAGATTAAGGTGGTTTAACAGGGTGAGGCAGGTCTTTGACAGACAATTTGCTATAGTTTACTTCTTAACTTTTGATCCCTTTGTATAATATATTTGTACTAGTGTCTGAGGAAACTTAAGAAATAGCATTCTTTTTAAGCTTTTATGAAGGAGGCGCCAACATTTCGTGACTCGAACTGTAGGTTTTCATCTGTATTTCATGTCCAAAATTAGTGTTTGGATTGACAATCNAAAATTAGTGTTTGGATTGACAATCCTGGGGATGGCTTATCAATGCGAGATTGTGATATTGCCTAGTTAAAGTTGCCCTTTACTCGTAGACCTTTCATCTGATTGCTTGTGTTCCTTTTCAATGCTACGCTTGTTGGAATTTGGTTTAGAAAATGAAAATAAAATTTAGTTAAATTTAGTGAAGTATGGAAAATGGACTTTTGCGTCATCTTTAACCAAATATTCGGACTTAATCCGATAGTCAAATTATGAATATAAATAGATTAACTTGTTCTACTCGTTGAGTAGACTGTCGTGGTATATTTGGAATCTCAAAATCAGTTTCGGATGAATTGAAAATTGCGGTTCAAAGTTGGATAGAAAAGAGGAAATACGGGTTGAAAAAATGGCCAACTCCGTAACTCGTCTATCGCTCGAGCTAGCGAGAAGCGAGATAGAGAGGTTTTCATGAATAGGTGTCACTGTTGCTCGAGCGAGAGGCCAACAACAACAAGGGATGCTTCCCTTCATCCTATATCATTTTGCATTAAGCATTACATCAAAACTTTTGCAAAATACTTTTCAAAAGTCATTCCAAAACCATTTTTCTTGTAGAGATAAATATTCGTTCAAAGTTCGTTGTTGTTATTTGTGGTTTGAATTACTTCTACTACAAGTTGTATCCATTATATCTTAGAGGACAAAATCAGTAGACTGTTAGCACCGTCACGAGGAAATATTATCTTAAGGAGAAAGTATTTCTACTTGTCTCGAATTTCGTTCTTCACTTCATTTTTTTTTTTTTTACCTTCGAATTAAACTTAAATATTTTCTTTGTCTAAACAACCATTTACCTAAACTAACGCTCCAACAATCCTAAGATAATATTTGTTTGTTTGTGGTTGTTGTTGTTGNTTCTTTGTCTAAACAACCATTTACATATACTACCGATCCAACAACGCTTACATCTTCTAAAGCAAAAATGAACCCTAATATGCCTAGTGTTTGACTCATCATCTAGGCAAAGGAAAGATTCGGCTCATCACAGAGAGTTGAGTAGTTAAGTGTCACACATTAGCTTGAAAGGGTCAAGTTATTTCAAATATTTTCTTATCCATAGCGTATCTCCAGAACGAAGAGAGACTTTAATGAAACACAGAAAAACCAGTGGTTATATACTTTAAAAAAGCCTTTGAAAATATTGTTGAATGTTAGGCTTTTTATTTCTCAAATTTCATTTGACAGGGTCCAACTTGGCACTTGTATTAATTTGTAAACTGGACAAGAATTCCCTAGTCTAGAATCAAGATTTTAAATCTTGGACAAGTGAGAAGAAAGATAACTTGTGGGCTTACGAGTCATTTTCAGTGATGAGCCGAATACCTAAGCCCATTTAATAGTATAGAAAAACACGAATCCAAAAATTTCAAGCAACCGAGTTTCTTATGAGATTACCTATCTTACTAAAATTACTAAACAAACCAATATGTTTCAACAAACCAATATGTTTCAGCTGCCATCATACAGAGTTAAGGTAGAATATTTAAAGTGGAGTTTGTATACAAGAGAGCGAGAGAGGAGCCGACGCCTTACTGTGTGTAACAATGTTGCCATTCCGACTAAAGCCTTTTAAGAAATGAATAGAAACTAGTCATGAATGTGCCCTGCTGTCGACACATATGGACGTAACAGAGTCAATCATTTCACGTCGCTAGGCTTCGAACTGTCCGCCCGAGAGCGACAAGTAAGGAGATAGAATTATTCAATAAATATTAATTTGCTACGAATTTGAGAGGCCAAGAATAATTGACATAAAAAATAGATTACAGATATCTTGTTATATTTCGGAGTAAATGAAAACGTCTCATGCTATTTTTTGTCATTTGTTAAAGTAAATTGTATCATTTTATAAATATAATAGAGTAAAATTTGTTACAATCCATTGGAGATGCCCTAAGGTTCTACAAGAGCTCGACTGGTTGAACAATAGATGTAATAACATTTTGATAAACTGAACTGAGGTTGGGTTCCTTTCATTTACACCTGTAACATCTAACTACTTCGTTTTGTATATTAATATTCCCAACTCTCACAGATGACATAGACAGACACATTTATGCTGTCAATCACTTTATCCCTCCGAACTAAACCCATAATCAAATTTATTAACACAGAAATGCAGAAATCATACTTCCCCTTCACTCCTCCCCACAACAAATAACCACGCAATGTACTTGCTCGCTCTACCAAAACTGGCCAAGATGCTGCTTCTTCTGCTCTTCCTCCTTGCATTCTTCCTTTCTCCTATCAATTCCTCAGATCTAGCCGGTGATAGAGAAGCCCTTTTGGCCCTACGCGCCGCTGTTGGGGGCCGCACTTTTTTTTGGAATGTGAATTCATCTACGCCGTGCAATTGGCAGGGTGTTCTGTGTGAGAACAACCGTGTTAGCGCCCTCCGCCTTCCAGCTTCATCCCTTTCCGGTACCATTCCGCCGAATACAGTCTCTAATCTTACTCTGTTAAGGACCCTTAGTCTCCGCTTTAACCATTTATCTGGTCCTCTACCTTCCGATATCTCCCAACTCTCTCAGCTACGAAATTTGTATCTTCAGGGAAACCGGTTTTCAGGGTCGTTACCGGATTTCCTGTTTTCTGTTCATTCCCTAGTGCGGTTGAATCTCGCTCAGAACAATTTTTCTGGTGAAATCCCTTCTGGGTTTAACAATTTGACCCGTTTGCGCACTCTTTATTTGGAAAATAATGGGTTCACCGGTGTTCTGCCGGACATTGAGCTGTCGAGTCTTCAACAGTTTAATATCTCTTTCAACAGTTTAAATGGGTCCGTGCCCAAAGGACTTGTGGGCATGCCTGATAATGCTTTCTTGGGAAATTCGCTCTGTGGGAAGCCTCTTGAAAATGCTTGTGAGGTCAATGGGGAAACACCGCCTGCGACAGCTGGGAACGATGGAAATATAACTGGGGTGGATAGTTTAGGGAAAAGTAAGCAAAATAAGTTGTCTGGTGGTGCAATTGCAGGGATTGTAATTGGATCTATTGTGGGATTTATTTTATTATTGTTGTTGCTATTTATTTTCTGTAGGAAGAGAAGTGGAAACAAGACGAGGTCCGTCGATGTGACAGCAATTAAGAATCAAGAAGCCAGGATAGGCGAAAAGCCACTCGTGGAGCCGGAGAATGGCAGTACGAGTAACGAATTTTCGGTGGCAGCAGCAGCTGCAGCTGCATTGACAGCGAATGGGAATGCAAAGGGGGAAATTGGTGGTGTTGCAAGTGAGGAAACCAAGAAATTGGCGTTCTTCGGTAACTTGTCGCAGGTTTTTAATTTGGAGGAATTGTTGAGGGCATCTGCCGAGGTTCTGGGGAAGGGTACGTTTGGGACGACTTATAAGGCGGTTTTGGAAGTGGGAACTGTGGTTGCTGTGAAGAGGTTGAGGGATGTGAGCATTTCGGATAGGCAATTCAGGGAGAAAATTGAAGGGGTTGGGACCATGGATCATCAGAATTTGGTGCCTCTTAGGGCTTATCATTATAGCCGGGAGGAAAAGCTTCTTGTGTATGATTATATGCCAATGGGAAGCTTGTCTGCACTTCTGCATGGTGAGTGAGATTTTAAAATCTTTACTTCTACCAATTTGTTAAGATACAGTTTCTTGATGTGGCTTCTAGTTTTGATGATAGGACTAAATTCTTGTTGAGTTTTGTTCCACATTGTGTGCGAGTATAATCAATCCTACACGCATTCAGCTACCCGGATGCGTCTTTGGGTCAGTACGTAGTCAAGCCCATAACCACATACACTTAGTTTTGCTTGCCATGTTTATGCTTAGATCTTTTTGAAAAACCAGAACTGGATGATGCATTGGAGAATTCGTTATAATTGTTAAAAGTAAAATTGTTTAAAGGGTTAGTAGTGTATGCTTGCGATTTTTTTAACTTGCTTATGTAAATTTGGTGAGGTTCTCACATATGGGCTTATTGGCTTCTTCCCATCTACCAAAGGCCCTCTGATGTGTCACTGATTTGATATTTTTGTAGCAAGCTGCATTTTTCTTTTGCTTGCCTATTATATTTAATGAATTATTATTTGCATTTTTAGTTTCATCTTAAATTCTGTTTAATTCCTGTATAGTCTTGGCAGTTGTACTTTTAACTGTTTTCAGCTATTCTATGTTAACTGTCTCTCCAATTTCCATGAGATTTTGCTACATTGGCAAACTTATTAAATCTGGTACAATTTGCTTTCTTTATCATCACTGTCATCTTCTCCGGCTCAGGTAACAAAGGAGGTGGTAGAACTCCATTAAATTGGGAACTGAGGTCTCGGATTGCACTTGGAGCTGCACTTGGTGTTGAATATCTGCATTCTCAAGGTCCGAATGTCACCCATGGAAATATCAAATCGTCTAATATCCTTCTCACACAGTCCTACGAGCCACGAGTCTCAGATTTTGGATTAAACCAACTGGTTGGAGTCCCACCCTCTCCCACCCGAGTTGCTGGCTATCGCGCGCCAGAAGTGACAGATCCTCGCCAAGTTTCCCAGAAAGCTGATGTTTATAGCTTTGGAGTATTGCTTTTGGAGCTTCTTACGGGGAAGGCACCATCTCATGCCCTCTTGAACGAGGAAGGAGTTGACCTGCCAAGATGGGTTCAGTCAGTAGTTCGTGAGGAGTGGACTTCTGAAGTTTTCGATCTCCAGCTCCTCCGGCACCAGAATGTCGAGGAGGAAATGGTGCAGCTATTGCAGCTCGCCATCGATTGCACAGCTCAGCACCCGGACACACGGCCTTCGATTAAGGAAGTCGCTATCCAGATCGAAGATCTTCGGCGTTCAAGCTCGCATGGTGATCATGAGCAACCTGATGTTGTCAGTGAACCGTATTAAACGTCCACCCTGCATCGTATTAATCCCGCTCCGTCGAAAATATTAGCAATTTAAACCTGTTGTGCGGTTTGTTTGTTTGTTTGTTTGTTGTTAATTAGGGCCACATTTTTCTTTAATTCCCAATTAACTCTTTTCTCATACTGTTTTTTAGTATGAAATTAACAATTTATCTTCTTTGTTCATGTCCCAGTAATCTATTAGATTTCTCTTTTATGCTGGAGACAATATGAGTTCCATTCGTTCATGCTGGGTGAAATATGGTGGTTGTAATTATAACTTCACTTTTTGCTTTTCTTTTGCTTTTGTAAACCACCCTTTTTAGCTGTTTAAGAGCCCCCCCCAACCGGCCAACCCCACCCCTCTTTATTGTTTTTGTACCTTCATCTAACCCCTAACTAAATTAATTACTCGCTTTGGATGTCGGTTATTTTTTTACGAAATCTTGGTATGCGTTATTGGATAGTACTGGACAAGATCGAACTATTTGCTTCAGCTTCTTTATCTTTCTTTAATGTTGTTAAGTGCTTCGTTCTTACCGACCATGTTAGAAAGGGTTATATTTAGTACTGTGTATCAAGCATTGTACTATTAAGTTAATCAATTTGTCTTGTTAGTGCATTGCGTGATACTACTTAAGTCGAGCCGAATAGAGTATCAAATAAGTGCGAGTCAAATAAATACTTGCAATTTCACTTTTTTTAAGTTGGTAGTTCACCTAATTTCAATAATTGAACGGCAATTGCAAATTCAACGACATTACACCTTCGAGAATGAATATGACAGCTACCTGTATTTCTCGCTATTAAGTGTTTATTGTAGGTTGAAAAAAGTGTAACAATTACGTGAAGAAAAAAGTGCATGGATTCGTTGGTCCACAAATGTTAATGACCATGGTGAGTGGGGGGGTCAATTTCAATTCAAAAAACACAATCTGACTTCAGCTTTTGCTTTATAATGTGTTTTTTAGATCTTATCTAGAAACGAACTAAACGCGCAAATCCAGTATTGTAGTTCAGCTAGGGCGAGATCGTTGATCAGTAACCGATGACCATTGACAATCAACGATCGTAATAACCGAAAATATAATTCAATACATATATAAATGCACTAAAACGTAAAAAGTATATACATATGAAATTATAATTCAATATAACCCAAAATACTAAAAAAAAAAAAAAAAACAAAAAAAAAAACA